GGCGGCTGCGGCTGTTGCTGCTGGCCATCATGGTGGTGGTGGTGGCCTCCGTCCGACGCCTAAGACCAGGACGGAGGGATGAATCATGGTGGTGAGGATACAAGGAGGGATGAATGTATGGGAGAGCAAACAGTCTGTGGCATTTCCTTCCGTCCCCTATCAGGGTGATATCGTTGTCTACATTTTATATCCCGATGTGCCCTGAATTACTATTCCCATGCCCCTACTGCACGCCAGTCAAGAGGATGCCTGAGACCCTGCTGGCGCTTCCCCTGGCCGAGGAGACCGTCGCCCTGGGCATGGGACTCGTCGAAGACGGTACGCATGAGGGAGGGCCAGATGGCTGAAGTCATAACACAGAAGCAGGCGCTCGCTGCTGAACTTGTCTGTGTGTGCGCTCGCCTGTCTGTCTGTGTGCCTGTGTGTCTGTCTATGCAGAGGCGTACACGTGTGGCAGCTTTGTCGGCCATCTCCTGTGGCCAGACTGGGAGCGGACCGAGCCGCCTGTCGACATCAACATCTACATCCGTGGGGCCTACGGCGTCGCCGCCATGACCGCCGTGCCCTCGGTGCTGCAGAAGCCCTTCCGCCTCTACCAGGTCGGCCTCCTGCCCCCAGCAATTTTGGCCCCCAGCGAAGATCAAGATCTCAACCGAGTGGAGCAAAAGAATGATGACGGCTTTTTCGATCGAAGACCTCGGTAGGTGCCTGGCTGAACAACGAGTGCATCCAGATTAATGCATGGCTGGCTGGCTGGCCTGCCTTGTGTGCATCCATCCATCTATGCATGTGCAGAGAGTCGGTCTGGGGCGCTTGGCGTCCTGATGGAGGTCGAGCAACTTGCTCGGCAGCTGAGAGAGCAGGTGCCGGCGGCGTTCGAGTCCGACACCTCAACAGAAGAGGCAAGAATGGCACCGCAGGAATGACCCGCCTGGTATTCTGTTTTACTTATCTTTCCACATGGATGTCTGTCTGCAGGGCGTGACATTGCCCAAGACCCTGTGGACGGACCTGCGGCTGCTTCAGGACAGGATCCGCCAGGCTTATCGGCTTCGCTTCGGCGAGGAGCCCCCCAACCACCCTCACCAGCACCACCACTACCCCTACCACCACCACCCTGCTGCTGCTGCGGCGGCTGCGGCTGTTGCTGCTGGCCATCATGGTGGTGGTGGTGGCCTCCGTCCGACGCCCAAGACCAGGACGGAGGGATGAATCATGGTGGTAAGGATACAAGGAGGGATGAATGTATGGGAGAGCAAACAGTCTGTGGCATTTCCTTCCGTCCCCTATCAGGGTGATATCGTTGTCTACATTTTATATCCCGATGTGCCCTGAATTACTATTCCCATGCCCCTACTGCACGCCAGTCAAGAGGATGCCTGAGACCCTGCTGGCGCTTCCCCTGGCCGAGGAGACCGTCGCCCTGGGCATGGGACTCGTCGAAGACGGTACGCATGAGGGAGGGCCAGATGGCTGAAGTCATAACACACAAGCAGGCGCTCGCTGCTGAACTTGTCTGTGTGTGCGCTCGCCTGTCTGTCTGTCTGTGTGCCTGTCTGGCTGTCTATGCAGAGGCGTACACGTGTGTCGGCCTTGTATGCCTTCGGGCTCGGCAGGACCCGTATGGTGTGACAGCGGCGCCCATCGGCGCGCATGCGCCGCCAGTCATGCCGGCCCTGCCCCACATGATGCAGCAGCCCTTCCAGCATCCCCCTCCCATCGCTGCATCGGGTGCCCCGGCCGCGCATGCCCCTGGCTGGGGCTTTGTTCCACTCGCCGCCGCCATGGCGCCCCACCGTGCCCCGCAGACATCAGCAGCACCGCAACACGACGCCGTGCGCGTCAGGCCCAACATCGCCGCCATCTCGATGGCCACCCCAGCGGTGCCGGCTGCGCCCAAGGCCAGGGCGGGAGAGGGAAGGGATACGGAGAGGAGGGAGGAGGCGGAGGTGATTGAGGAGGACGGATGCCGCGCCCCGTCAGCCACCAGCCACCAGGAGGGAGACGAGAGGGAGAGGAGAGAGGAGGCGGAGGTGATTGACGAGGAGGTGATTCACGAGCGGCAGCAGGAGGAGAGGGCACGGGACGATGAGGGGCACCCTGAGACCGACGGCCACGAGCCGCCGGCAGCCGCCCCTACCTTGGCAGCCCAGCAGGTGGACCAGAGGCAGCAGGAGGGAGATGAGGAGAGGGAGAGGGCAGAGGACGTCAAGGAGGAGCAGAGGCCGAAGGAGGCCGGTCCGCCCCCACCGCCACCAGGGCCGCAGCTGCCGTCACCACCACCACCGTCGCCAGGGCAGCAGCAGCAGTACCACAACACCGTCCCCAGAGCGGACAACGAGACGGCCATCATGTCTGCCGACGGCAAGGCCTTCCTCGACTCGTTCGTGAGCTACGGCAAGTATGCCACGGCCATGAACGAGAACTACCACGTCGTCAGGGGGGTGGCTCGGGGTACCCTGGGCCCCTCGTACATGCTCAAGGCACCCCCCCCTCAGGAGCCTGGGGGGCCCGCTATCGCCCCAACTGATGGCGCTGGTGAGAGAGAAGCTGCGGCATGAGGCCAAGGTGCTGGTGGACCTGGGTCAGAAGGACCTGCCGGGAGAGGGGGAGGCGCCGATGGTGCCCGCTGTGCTTTCCGTATATCGCTGCCTTCATTTTATATCCGTGAGAGTCCCGTTCAACGAATAACGATGCAGTGGATGAGCGACCAAGAAAGAGCGCTGACATGAGAAGGTAGGAGAGTGGCGAGACAGAACCATCTTCATGGATCTCGTTGGTGTGTGACGCTGCAGAGCATCATGTCTCACCGAGCCACGCTTACCAGATCGGACTTGTTGCTGGGCGAAAGGGCCGACCTCAGAAGGTAAGAGAGATGCAGCTCAGAGAGAGGACAGTGCAGATGCATCTGCATCATGCGACGACCCTGATGTGGCCTGTCGTGTCTGTCATGCGTTACGTCATCGCGGCGTTATCCAGGCCGAGAAGGAGACGCAGGACGCCTCGCCTTCCTTATATCGCTGCCTTCATTTTATTTCCGTGAGAGTCCCGTTCAACGAATAACGATGCAGTGGATGAGACGGTAGGAGAGTGGCGAGAGAGAGAGGGCGTGGGGAGATCTGCGGCCCACAGACAAGTGGAAGGGCGCGCCTCCTGGCCAGTTCCCAGTGAAGCTGCTGCCGCTGCACCGGCAGCAGTGGAAGCTGCAGGGAGGCCCCCAGCCGCCAGGTGACGGGCAGCGGACCACCACGAAGGCCGAAGGCACAGTACTCGTGATGGACCACATCGGTGAGCGAGCGACACACCGCATGCGCTCGTGCATCGCAGCGCAGACACGTGTGCTCTATGCTGTGTGTGTGTCTACCCATTCAGGCTTCCTCAGTGGCGCCGAGGTCCGTCGGCTGCGTGAGGAGGGAGGGGGCAGTGGCGGCAAGGGGGACGTGGTTGTTGGTGCAGTGTCCCTCCGGGACCTGTATGATGCGAGGGCGGGCAACGACGACGAAGACGAACACCGCAACGAGCTCATCAAGACCCTCGCCGCCACCCTCGCCCGTCTCGGAGTCGAGGCCGCCCACCACCGCCAGCACGTCCTCTACCTGCTCAGGCTGCTGCTGCGCATCCACAAGTGCGGCTGGGTACCCGGAGACGCCAACCCCAACAACTTCCTGGCCCAGTGGGATGCCAGCAGCAGCACCATCCGATCGGTGGCCATCGACTTCGAGTACGCCGTCACCACACACGCCGCCCAGCAGCCGAGGAGGGTCATGGCCGTCGACACCTTTGACATTCTGCCGGTGTTCGCCTCGTACACCGACCCCGCCGCATAAGTCGAGCTGGCCGAGGCCATCATCACCCTCGACAAAGGCCCCCCTTCGTCGCCCCCGCCCTTTGCTGGCCAACACAGCAGACGAACGCCTACTCCGTGGGCCTGTGCTGCGGCTTCCTTCTGGCGGCCCCCTACGTCGAGCAGCTGGCGCACTTGTTCGCCAGCTGCCAGACGGTCAACGACATTCTCGGGCAGGCCCTCAAGCACCGAACCATCGCGCTGGTCCTGGCATCACCATGGGGGCCGCAGCGGCGAATTTCGAGAATGCAATGTGTCGGCTGGAGGAGGCGCTGGCGACATGGAGGCAGCGGGAGGCCACGGACACGGCAGCGATGGAGAGGGGGGAGGAGGCGCTGCGGGTTCTGCTTGGTCGTCTCGTCGTTCGTTTCTGTCGCGCCGTGGGATGGGGTTGGCTGGGCGGTGAGTGGTAACATGGATGGATGGCGTGCTGCACATGTATCTCGCGTATTGACGTACGGAAAGACACGACAGTGGCCGGCGTGAGGGAATGGGCGGACTCACGGGTGTGGGCGGGCTCGGCGACGGGGCGCATGGCCGTGACGACCGGACTACTCACCTACTTAGAGGTGCGTATGAGAGAGAGAGAGAAAGAGAGAGAGAGAGAGAGGAACGCGGGATGTGTCTGTGTCTTTGTTGTGGATGTTCGTGTGTCCAGACAAGGCTGCCGGGTTGGACCTCTTGCCACCTGGACCTGCACCTGCAGCACCACCACCACTCGCCGCCCGGCCGCACTCGCATCGACAAGGCCTCGGCTGCCCCGTTGAGCAAGAAGCAGGCAAGGGCGAGTATGCGGCCGCTGAGGCCGCCAGCGAGAGCCGGTGGGGGCGGGTGATGCGTCGGAGTGTCAGCGGGGCGGACGGGGAGGATCACAACCGCCGCAGCAGCCAGAGGGCGCCTTGTCTTCGTCTGACGGCGGTTTCTGTGTGGCCATCGCCTGAGGGCTTCCATCTTCCTGGCTGTCCGTCAGGAGGGAGCAACGACAATGAGCGACTACCATGAGCATGATACAGCCGCCGTGTCGCGTGATATCAGCGGGTAGGAGGGGCCTCTGCGTGCCCGAGGTGGAGAGGAGGAGGCCACTGGCGGACGTGATTAGGGACATCGAGACCCTGCTGCTGCTGTGAGGGGGGAGGGACGGCGACGAAGTGATGGGGGCCTTTGGGTTTGGTCTGCGACCCATCAAGAAGGACAGACAGAAAGACCATGAGTGGGGGGACGCGGACGATGAAGTCTTCAGAGCGAGGGCGCCACCAGCAATGATGCGACAGAGGACAGGACATACAACGACATGGCTGCTGCTGTGATGGGGGAGGGGATGGAGTGCCTATCGAAGTGCAGTGCAGCCACTACAGGCTGCGTGGCGTCTCTAGTGCACCGCAGGTCAGGATGATATCGTTGTCTACATTTTATATCCCGATGTGCCCTGCATTACCATTCTCATGCCCACCCCTGCTGGCGTACTTGACTGGGGACGAGCCGACTGCCTGGGATGGTCTTTCTGTCGCTTTCGGCTGTGGTGTGGCCGAAAAGTAAGAGGCGCACACGACAGGCGGAAAGAGGGCAGAAAGAAAGGACTCAAACATGATGTCTCGATTCTCCCTGTCCTGAGCTGTGAGCCACATCACTGTCCGCATTGGGGCAAGAAAGCTGAGAGGCCGGCCACGGCCGATGGAGGCGCATGCTGGCGCGAGAGAGGTGAGGGATGGATCGGCTGTGCCGGGGCAGAGACACTGGGAGAAAGAAGGGCAGCACTGTGTGACAACCAAGGGCGGTGAGGGTGAGTTGGTGACGATGGATGGATGGATCATGGCGGATGGCGTATTCCCCTTCAATCATCTTCTGTTGATGGGCGGGTTGATGGACGGTCTAACGTGTCGGCCGGGGAAGACTGATGCGTGTATGTGTGTGTTGGCTGCAAGAGCGGGATGATGGATCCACAGACGTACCGTGCTCTCGAATGGTGCATATCCTGACACATAGAGAAGGTGGGTGTTGCATCGATGGGACCCATGGCCCCCCCATCCCTTCTCCTTCCATATACACACACACATAGTCCTTCCATATATGCACACACACAGACACACAGACACACAGGGGTTGTCTTGTCCCGCTATCACGCACACCAACACGTATACACATGTGCTCATCCATCGGTGAGGTCAGTCCATCACGACCGTGTCAGTCTTGTTGCTTCCATCCTCCTCCGTGAAGGCCTCTATCAGCTGCTCTGTTGGCGCGTCGTCCATCATCGCCACCACATCAACCGCCGACCTTGCCTGAACCGCTATCAACGACGAATGCTGTCAACACACGCACACACACACACACACACACACAAAAAGACACACAGAGAAACGAGAAGGCATGCACGTAGACAGAGGGCAGTCCGTGGGGGTGGTGCTCACTCACCTGTTGTTCATTGTCTTTGTCGGCGGGTGCTGCTGCGTCTGCCGCAGCTGCTGCGCCATCAGCCGGCTCGCTGCTGCTGCTATTGCCGTCGGTAGGTTCGGCTGGCTGTGCGCGGATGCAGCCTGGAGCTCCTGTAGACGGACACTATTTCCTGCATCAATCAAGAGGGAAGAGATGGACATACAGTAAGCGGCCTGGCCTACAGGTGGGCTGTGTTCCGTGTGTCTGGTGAGTGTGTGTGGCCGGCATTCACACATACATACATACCCGGAGTGGCGGGATGAGTGCAGCGTTGAAGAGGTCATACATCTGCCGGAAGAGATGGACAGGGAAAGGATGGATACACACATGTGTCGTAGTGGGACTGGTATCCACGACCTACATCGCATAGCTAAGCTCGCATCCGACTCCGTGAAACTGCTCGCCGATTCTGGCAGCATTTCTGATTTCGCGAGATTTCAACGACAGATTCGAAGAGGAGAACAGGCACTGTTATCGCTGAGACAGCGGCCTTCTCCAGCGCTCACCTCACTAATTCACGCCCCCATTGCAGCGTGCAGGCTGGCCGGCAAGAGCTTCCGCGCCGTAGTTCTTTGTCGATCGCAGGGAGGCCACCTGCAACGACAGATTCGAAGAGCAGAACAGGCACTGTTACCGCTCAGACAGCGGCCTTCTCCAGCGCTCACCTCATGAATTCACGCCCCCATTGCAGCGTGCAGGCTGGCCGGCAAAAGCTTCCGCGCCGTAGTTCTTTGTCGATCGCAGGGAGGCCACCTGCAACGACAGATTCGAAGAGCAGAACAGGCACTGTTACCGCTAAGATAGCGGCCTTCTCCAGCGCTCACCTCATTAATTCACGCCCCCAATGCAGCGTGCAGGCTGGCCGGCAAAAGCTTCCGCGCCGTAGTTCTTTGTCGATCGCAGCGAGGCCACCTGCAACGACAGATGCGAAGAGCAGAACAGGCACTGTTACCGCTCACACAGCGGCCTTCTCCAGCGCTCACCTCATGAATTCACGCTTCCGTTGCAGCGTGCAGGCTGGCCGGCAAGAGCTTCCGCGCCGTAGTTCTTTGTCGATCGCAGCGAGGCCACCTGCAACGACAGATTCGAAGAGGAGAACAGACACTGTTACCGCTGAGACAGCGACCTTCTCCAGCGCCCACCTCATCAATTCACGCCCCCATTGTAGCGTGCAGGCCGGCCGGCAAGGGCTTCTCCGCTGTAGTTTCTTGTCGATTGCAAGGAGGCCACCTGCATACAGGCAGCCATTAAGGAATGAATGGATGGACTCAGATGTGATCTGCCGCTCTCTCTCTCTCTCTCTCTCACTCTCTCTGTCTGTGTGGAGGGTGGGGCGGGCGTGCTGGCTGACCCTCGTGGGAGCGCAAAGTAGAAGTCCTCGGGGCTGATCTCACTGTCGTCGTCATTGTCGATCAACTCTACTGTCTCCTACACACACGGACAGCACGTGGGGCGTACAGGGCGTCAACAAACACACACACGATACACACGCACATGCACGCATGCACGCACGTGGGTACCCACCTTGAGTTGCTACTTGTCGAGTTCATTAACGTCAAACAATGACTCAACATGAAGATCTGACCGCACATACATACACAGATTGTGCACGCCCCACCCACAGAGGGAAGGAGAACGTCAATCGCCAGGCCGTCGAGCTGAGAAGAGAGAGAAAAGGGAAGTCAATGGATGGATGCACCGCATGTAGAATTGCGTGCACGTTCTATTTCAGTCAGAGATCGCTGGGTTGATGGCATCTACCTTGCGCTTGGTACCTGGAGTGTACAGGCTGGACACCAACACGTGCACACGTCCGCGTGCGCATGCATCACTACTCCTCTGCTTCTGCCCCGTGTCTGACCCTTCTTTCTACTTGCGCAAGACGTCTTTTCTGCCACGCGTGCCCAGCAAGTTATCTGGTGCGTCAGGGAGCGCATCTTACGCCACTCCAAGAGAGAGGACGATCTTCACGATATAAAGTGCCCAAAGTAGTTCTCTTGTGCCTGAAACAGCCAGAAACGACGTCATTGCCCTTACTCGCGCTTGAACGCATAGGCTTCAGCATCTGCCGGGCAGTGATGAGCACTTCTGCACACACACACACACACACACACACAAAAGCCAAGCGACGTTAAAGCTCCCGTAGTGCTCCCATTGCTAAGCTCGCATCCTTCGCATCAGGCATTTGTGATTTTCGAGATTTCAGCAGCATGTTTGCTTTGGATGAGATGGCCTGGATGTTCGCTGCCGTTGGTTTCGTTGTAGTCACGGCCCTCGCTGCCGCCCGGCTCATGAGTAGCAGACGCACAAGCAATACGAGCGGCGCAGCCGAATCAGCACGGGCTGTGGCTCAGCGGCGGCAGAGAGTGTGCGGCAGCAACGCCAAAGGGAATTCACTGGAGGAGTCCCACTCGGACGAGCGCTATGATGTCATAATTGTCGGTGCAGGTACGTACGTGCGTGCGACTGGCTGGATCTGCGCACCTGATCTCGGTCCTGTTGCTGCTCTGCTGCTGGTCGTTCAGGCACTGCTGGTGCGGCTCTCGCAACTGCCCTGGGTCAGTCAGGGCGGCACGTGCTTCTGCTGGACAAGAGCTGGGGCGAGCAGCAGCGCATTGTGGGGGAGTACATGCAGCCGGGTGGCATGCGCGTGCTCGAAAAGTATCGGCTGGACCAGTGCGTCAAAGAGGACATCGGTGCCGTGCCATCCTCAGGTGCCTGCAAGTGACAGAGGCATCATCAGTGGTCTCTGGATGTGTTGTTTGTTTCACCCACCCACAAATCAATGTATCAGGTTATGCGGTGATCCTTCCCGCTTCACCGAGGAGCTCCAGCGACGCGACTGCGGCAGATACGGAAGACTCGACGACCGACACATGCAGCCAGGCGTCGGACACGAGCACCTCAGGGGGCCGCGAGACTCTGCTGTGGTACCCCTCACACGACCCTGCGGGCATCAAGGAGTACTTCGGCTTCATCCCGCTCAACCAAAAGGACACCACCAGCACCGCCACTAGCAACAGCGCCGCGGCACGACCAGACCAACAACCACAGACCGACGCTGCCAAGGTGGACACGACGGGCGCGCCCCAGGGCTTCTGCTTCCACAACGGGAGGTTCGTGCAGCGGCTGCGGGAGACGGCTCGGCACCATTCCAATGTGTCGGTCGGCCACGCCCAGGTGACCCATCTGCTGGAAGACAAATCGGCTGTGATAGGAGTGGAGTATGCACCCGTAGACGAACACGGCAAAGTCAGCCCGGCAGCGAGGCGCCGCGCACTCGCTCCGTTGACGTGCATGTGCGACGGCGGGACGGCGGGGCCGCTGCGGAAAGCCTACACGTCCGGCCACCGTCCGCAGAAGGTGTCGACGTGGGTGGGCCTGCTGCTCAAGCACGAGCCCCACAGCACCCCCCTGCCGCACCCTGGGTGCGGCCACGTCGTCTTGACCGACCCCTCCCCCCTGCTGCTCTACCAGATCTCACCCACCGACACACGCGCCCTGGTGTGCATCGACGGCGATGTCACCGACTACAGGCGATATGCGGAGGAGACCATCGCGCCCCAGCTTCCCGCGTCGGTGCGGCCGTTGTTTCTGCGGGCACTGCGAGAGCAGAGGAGTGACGGAGAGGGGAATGGGGAGGGTGTGTGCCGGGTGGAGGGGATGAATAGCGACGGGCTGGCGACCAAGAACACCTACAGGTACGAGGCGCGGTGTCCTGTGAAGGGCGGCGTGGTGGCCCTCGGAGACGCCCTGAACATGCGCCATGCGCTGACGGGCTGCGGCATGACCGTGTGCCTCAAGTAAGTGGTCTGTCTGCAGGGCCAGGGAGACAATGGATGCAGAAACGATAGAAGGAAGATGCCTTCATTCATGCGACTCGCCGTTCGTGTGGGTTGGATGTGCGCAGAGATATGGATCTGTTGTGCCAGCTGCTGTCGCACGCCGACCTGAATGACCCCCAGCAGCTCTTACGCATACAGAAGAACTTCTACGCGTACGTAAGAATGATCCGTATATGTCTGTCATACTGAAAGAACTTCACTACCGTGGTATTGTGTGCGTGTGTGTGTGTGTGTGTGTCGTGTTGTGCATCCACGCAGCCTCCGCCGCGAGCACGCGTCCACCCTGAACGTGTTGGCCAACGCGTTGCATGCAGTGTTCACGACGCCAGAGGGGCCCAAGAAGGCGGTACGGCGCAAGCTGCAGGCCGCGTGCTTCGACTACCTCGACAAGGGCGGCGCGTGCACCGCTGGACCTATCGGTGAGTGAGTGAAACAGCTGGAGGGAGGGAGGGAGGGAGGGGGAGGATTTCAGAGACGTCTGGCCTGTCTGTTTGTGGGTGGCATTGCAGGTTTGCTGGCGGGTCTGACGCCCAAGCCTGAGATCCTGGCGGTGCACTTCACGCTGGTGGTGTTCTATGCCGTCAAAGAGGCCCTGGTGCAGGGCATCGGGAGGCCGCTGAAGCTCATCAACATCCCCTCCACACTCTCGCACACATATCAGGCACGCAAAGCCAGCAAGGGATGGTCCTGAGTGTGTGTGTGTATGTGTATGTGGATGTGTATGTGTGTATGCAGTTGCTGCACGAGGGTGCGAGGATTTTGATGCCGCTGGTGGTTCGCGAAGGGGCCACCTTCCTGGCATGGTGGCCGGTGCGGAAACTTGTGCAAGTGGTCTTCCCATGGGAAGATATGCTCATGTAGACACGCATCCCTTCCTACGTCCCTGGCGCTTTTGCTCTCTCTCTTTCTTCGCTGTGGGGTAGTTTTGTCCCCTGGATGAAGGGCTTTTTTGGTATGACTGCAGCAGTGTCTGTATGAGTGTGTGGATATGGATATGGTGGGTGTTCCTCCCCCATTCATGTATGCCTGCCTGCCTGCCGTGCTCAGCACACGTGGCAGCCGTCTGTCTTGTATGCGGGTGGGGTGGGTGGTGCGAGGCATCCCTGGTTGTTTGTATGGTCATTCTGTATGCAGTGAGGGTACACGTACATACGTACGTACGGCATCGATGTAGTGGTGTCGGCATGGCATCTACCGACAGGCCGGTTTCGGTTCGCGGACATCACATGTGCATGGGTGGGTGGGTGGGTGGATGGATGGATGGATGGATGCACGGACAGTGCACACATGGCGATTTGATTTAATCCACATGCCCCTGCAATGCAACCAGCGTTTCACTCAACCCCCCCACCCACACCATACATGACATGAGTCAGCCATCCACCAATCCATCCATGCATCCATCCTTCAGAGGCAGACAGACCGATGGGACGCCACAAACTCCATTCATTCACGACCCATGTCCTATATATATACGCCACACTGACTGACTGCACAACCTGGCAGGCATCGCCATTATACATCGTCCATCCATCTATCGGCTGCATTTGGTCGGCTGACACAAACCCAGGCATTGAATGCCCTCCACGCTCGTCTCGGCAGCCGCCGGCTTCGTGTGCTTGCGCGGCTGGCGGGGGCGTCGAAACACATACGTGGGCGTGGCGGGGATGTATGGGACAGGCGTCATGGCGGGGGGTGGTGCTGCATAGTAGTTGAGAGGGAGTCGGGTGGCAGCATGCAGGGCAGACAGGCTCACCGATTGCTTCAGATACGGCTGCTGCTGTTGCTGCTGCTGCTGCTTCTGCATCGGGTAAGAAGGGGACGGCAGCAGGGCAGCAGGCCTGTACAGGTTCCTCTCGCTCTCTCTCTGCACAGGGGCCTCTTCGTTCCTCGTTTCTGCCTCCTGTTGCTTGAGGTCCTTCGGTAACTGCCACTTGAGTCGCAGCGTCGGCGCCTGCACATAGGCCGACTCGTCGAAGGGCATCTTGCGGGGCCGGCGGAGGGAACACGACAGCGACCGAAGCAGCGCGGAAGGCTCACGAGCTGGTGGGGCCGGGGGCGGCTGGGCAGGCTCCACGGGCGGCTCCGTGGCTTCTTCTCTCTTGTGGGATGGCTGTTCAGTGGGTTTCTCCTCTGGCTGTCCCTCTGCGTCTCTCTGGCTTTCATCCCCCAGTTCAGCTGTCTTGGCTGCCTTGATAGTCTGCATCCTGGTCAGGCTGGCCTCCTGGTCCTTGACGTAGTTCATCACCTACACACAGAAAGAGGGAGACATAATGTGATGTGGCCGGCCAGATGCCGCCGTTGCCCTTTGTATGTGTCTCTCTCTGTGTGACTTCAATGAGCTTGGTCCGGTATTGCTGCGCCTGCACAGGGGATCAGAGACATCATATAGACAGGCCCTGTCTATAAGCTTGCCTGACCTTCTTTGCGGCGAAGCCGAGGGATTCCTGAGCAGTCTCGAGGTCCTGCATGAGCCGATCTCTTTCCTCCTTGACCGACAGCAGCCGCATCGACAACGCACGCTCGCTCGCCTGACAAAGACAGACAACAGCGCTTGATGTGTGTCGCCCACTGCTGTTCTTGCAAGCAATCGACCACAGACCTTGAGCCGATTCTTGGCGGTTTCCAAGGCCTCGATTTGTTCCCGGAGGCTCTGCGGGTATGTTGAATAGGCACATTTGCCTGGAGGACTTGCTGATAAGGCGTACCTGTAGGGTCTCCTTCTGCTCGGCGATGACCTCTTTACATCTCTGAATCTCGTTTTGCGCCGCTTTGAGGGGGGTCATATGCTCCCCGGCCTCGTCCAGGTTCTCGAGCGACTTGTACGATGGCAGTCTCCCTACATACACAGAGCCAATGAGAACTCGCGTACACGCATCAATGCATTCATTACTGGGTGTGTGCAGGCAGGTGCACCTGTTCCCTTTCTGAGTTCGGCCTCGCATTGGTCGAGTTGCTCTTGCAGCAGCTTGACTTTGTTGTTAACCTCATCCACCTTGCTCTGCTTCTCACGGATCAGCACCAACATGTCCTCCATCTCTGCAGACAGACATCAAAGCAAGAACACACTTCACATGAATGAATGGCCGGGCAATCGGTGTGTGTGTTGCTGACCTTTCTCCCTCTGCGCCTTGAGCGCATTCAGAGTCGTGTTCTCTTCTTTCAACGTGCTGCATCCACACACATGAATCCGTAAGTACAAACATGGGGACACACACCTCTAGGCATACCTGTTTTCCCTTGAGAGTGTTTCGATTCTCTCTTTCAGGGTTGACACCTCTCCGGCGTCTGGCCCTGCACGACTCAGCCCGAAGCTCTGACCACAGACACGAACATAAATGCACTACACGTCATTGTTCCATTTTCCTCCTACCGGTCTCGGCCTGCCTCCCTCGTACTGAGGGGTCTCGTCCACTGATCCGTGGTGCGACATTTTCCTTTTTTCTGGGCCTCTGGATGGAGAATGCGAGAACTCCCAGCTCGCAGTCTCGCCCCCACGGCCCCCATTTCGAGGCACCCAGGTGATGGTGGTTCTGCGCGACGAGGGGCTGCGGCCCAAACGAAGACCAACCGTGGCAGACTTGGGCACGGGCCCATCCCCCACTGCAGGAGGACCCGTCAGACCCAGACGACCTGTAGGGGGAGGGAGGGCCGGAAAGAAGGACACGCACACAATAGTAGAGGCAGTGCATTGCCGAGCCCCTTGTGGTGTTCTTTGCAGAGTCCCATTGGGTATGAGCAGTGGATAACGCCCGAGAATGAATACCTCTTCAGAGTGCTCAGACAACCGGTTCGTACCCACTGCAAAGGAGGGCCATGCACACAGCATTGTGCCCTCTGGGAGTGGGTTGCAGCCTGCCGGACAGCCATCCGACTGGCGGGAGGGGAGGGAGCACAGACAGCTGCGGGTAGGGAGGGAGCCCAACACGAATCAATGTTTCACACTCTCTCTGTGTTGCGGCGATACATCAGGCCGCCAGTCCGTTGATCGTCAGTCGGGACATTGCCAGCCCTCCATTCGCCTTGTGCCCTCCAGATGACCCTCGGACACTCGTAATGACTGAGTGAGTGTGTCAGCACCCCCACCGCTGCCATGTGTTCGTTGGCAGGGGGGCATTCGCTCGGCGTCGGTTTCCCGGAGGCGTCCACCGGCCTATCCATGGGAGCAGAAGGGACGCATCATCCCATGCACAAGTAGGTGCACCTGGACAGACATGCCTGACCTCGTCAATGTGGCTGGCTGGCTGCTGTGCTGTGCTGTCTGTCGATTCGGACCACAGACGCAGGCGAGGTCTATTACGGCAAGATCCGAGGAGTCGGTCCGAAGCCCGACCACCCTCCCTCCCACTACCACCACCCGTACGACATGCAGCCCCCGAAGGACACGCGCCTGCGGGGAGCCGAAGATGAGGAGCAGGCCTACCAAGAGTGGCTGGAGCAGAGACTCCGTCGAGAGTTTGAGCTGCACCGACACTGGCAGAGCGAGGTCGGCGCTCGCATGAAGCGGCTGTGCCCTGAGCCTGGCACTCACGGGTACCAGCAGTCGTTCCCAGATCTCATTGGGGGGAGGAGGACTCCGGCAATGGGGTTCCGGGGCATGGAACACTTCATCCCCACTGTAACCAAACCAACGAGACACGAGCTATGCCTGAATCGAATCCCGTGTCTGTCTGTCTGTCTGTCTCCCTCTTTGCCTTGTTTCACTCAGCAAAAGAAGAAAAGCAAGGACCGCAGCAACCAGATCGAGAGCGCAGAGTTCCGCGAGGCGGTCTGCAACGGCCCGCCGGTCAAATATCGGCCCGCCAAGCGCATCTTCCCGCCCAACCCGTATTTCCATCCGCCTCCCCACTCGCCGCCCCCACGGGCCAACCCAGTATTTGCCAGCCAGCTGCAGCGAGGCAGCAACATCCCCTATGAAGAGTCGTTCACCGGTCCGGACAGGCCCCAGAAGCGGCTGTTCTACGGCCACATCGCACCGGTCAACTGCGACTGGCTGGTGCATGCAGACCCCGCGCAGCTTTCGCAAGCTGAGACAGCAGCTGAAATGGACAGAAGATTCGAGATGAAGAAGCGCCCGGGCCCGCCGACGGCTTACCACGTGCATCCGCTCTTCCTCTCTAGCGGGGCTTTGCCCTTCCGGCCGTCGAAGCGCCCAGCACCCCCGCACACATTTGCTGACCGTGTGCAGCTAGCAACCGCTGCTGCAGCTACTGCAGCAGCAACGGGGCCGGCTTCATCAGTGGTGGATGATCCCTACAAAGGTGCCCACCCGCTGTTCATGAGGACGCCTGGCCCGCCGACACCGGTGAGACATGACGACGAGGAGCAGGAAACGCAGCAGAGAGAGGGGCTGGGAGAGGAACGGGAGGGAGAGAACAATGAGGGAGGGGAAGACGATGAGCAGGAAGAGAAGGAGGAGGAGGAGGAGGAGGAGGAGGAGGGCCAAGCACAAGATCAGGAGGTGGAGGGTCTTGTCACTGCTGAGCGGCCTGGCCCCCCCACGATCGATGATCTGGGAGTGCCTCCCTCGCCCTGTGTGGAGTTCCGTCCCTCGTACGCCTATGAACACTTCACTCCGCCGCCCTCGGTGCCCACCACCCCCACACGCCGCCGCAGCAGCGGGTTGCCTGCATATGGCGTCAGCGGGTGGACGGCCGGCACAATCGCCAGGGTGCACTGAATTGATTGAATTGAGGGCTCTCTCGGTCATCGATGAATGTAGGTACTGATGCGTATGAGTGATTGATCGATGTGTGCCTAAGTAAGGACTTGGTTGCTTTGTATGTCTTGAGTATACGTATCGCCGTGTGGTGGGTGGCTTAAATTTGTGTGTCCGAGAGAGAGACGTCATTGACTGAGGTATGTGGAGCTGTCTGTGATGAATGAATATGTGGCTGATTGGCATGTAGACAGCAAGACAAGAGCTTGTCAGAGGCAGGCAGGCAGGCAGGCGACACGTACAAAAGTCGGGCTGGCGTCTTGTATGCACATCACATGCACACCCAGCCAGGACAGGACAGTCGGCTGGCGATCCATCCATCCATCCATCCATATCGACAACACACAACAGACAGGCAGACAGACAGACTGCCAGAGGGCCTTTGGCCCCACACAAGTCGGTGCCGTCGCCACACACACAACACGCAGCACTCGCACTCACACAGACGACCACTTCACCGTGTGTTCGCTGCATGTATGTCTGGATAGACAGACGGATCACAATGCGCTCATTGCAGCCCAGCCCCTTCAATCAGTCGCTGTCCGATTGACCGAACGCGTCAAGGATCTCCAAAGGGACGCCTGCAACGCAATGCACACACACACTCAGATGACCACTGCCCTGTACCAGCAGCTGAGAATGAATGTGCGTACCGAGTTGCTCGCACACCCTGGCAAGGCTCCTTATGGCGGGGTAGAGGGATCCGAGTGCTGCACTCGGCTCGCTCTGGGGCGCACCGCACACAGACATTACATTACACACACATCCGTACATACCATACACACTGACTGTTGGTTGCATTTGTATACCATCTCGGGAACGTTGTTGTGACAGAAGGCGAACGACACCTCGAGCGCCTGATTGATTGATGATGAGATACACATGTAAGGCACACACATCCAGTAAAGTGTGCATAACCATGCTGTCGGTCGGCATGGCATGATGATCAGATCAGATCAGATCATATGCACTCACTGCGCCCACCGGTATGTACAGGGCGAGGCACCCATTGAGACCTGTGGAAGGAATGAATAAGATGGTATGCACACAATTGTGACAAATAGACAGACCGGAAGGAATGGAATGATGTGGGAGTTGCCCCCCTGTGGATCTATGTGACGTCCTTCCTTCGCTCAGCTCACCTGCGTGTCCATATGCGTGCAGGTATCGTCCACCCGGACGGATGGATGGACGGACTTCACCAGGGACGGATGGGCGCACGTATTGCCACACTTCACCCGACCCCACCTGCCTCAGCTTGAACCCAAACACGAAGACCCCTACACACAGCACAACACAGCACAACACAACACAACACAGCATTCATCTCTCGCAAGAGGGAGGTTGCCAATCTGGATGTGATGGCGTACCGAGGCCCATTTGCTGTATGACGAGCTTGTTGTCCTCCGTCTGCTCGAAGGGAGACGCCAATGCATCCTCCAATGGGGGGCGATCCTGTATGTATGGTGTGTATGCACCAATCATATCATTGGCACACACACATGTGCCAACCAACGCACAGGGATAGGATATCACGTCAGTCCATGCTCACCTGCTCGCCCTGATCGCAGTTGTTGCCGGCGGTAGGCTGTGGGTTCCATCGTCGTGTGGCCATTGCCATCAGGTCGGGCGATCGGATCACATCACCGTGACCCAATGCACTGACATACACACACACACACACACGCACACACATGAATGCATGGAATGGCATGGCTTCTTGTACGTCACCCCACGCACCCACAGCTGGTTACCTGAACAACTTGGCGAGCGCCCGGGCAGAGCAGTGGCCGTTCGCCTACAGACAAACACACAACTGTGTGTGGTGTCTGTGCGTGTAGGTGCTGTGTGCTGTGTGACTGTGGACGGTGTAGCAAGCTTACGGCGAGGATGCAGGCCTGTTTGACTTGTTTGTTGTCGAATAGGTGCGGGTCGAGCAGATGCTCCCGACTGAATCAATCAAGCACACAGGGCGGGAGTCGTTCAGCCAGTGTGCTCTCGTTATGCGTGTGATGTCCTCGTCAGTGCCCACCCGCTGAGCTCTTTGAGCAGCGGCCCGGCGAGGCGAGAAAACAGCTGCGACGCATCACTGCTGCGATGACACACCATCGGAATAAAGATGATGAAAGGGGGTGGGCGTCTTCCTACTGTCTGTCTGTCTGTCTGTGTACGTTTCCTTGGTGCCGCCCTCTCCGTCCTGTAGTGTGTCCTCCAGCCGCTCTATAGCGCTCTCCACCTCCTACACAGACACAGACACAGACACATGCCGATAGACACAGAGCGCACACACGTGACTTGACCAGGGCGCGGCGCGGCGCACCCACCTGTTCGCTGACTGTTGTGGACGGAGGCTTGTGCAGACTCGCCACCTTGCCTGCACACCCAAGAACACAGACGTGTGTGCGTACATGCCTATCATGCACCCATCCATCCATCCATCCATCTGGCTGACTCACTCACCCCTTCTGGCCATGACGTCCGGTGTGAGGCCCACGATGAGCTCATCAGCCAAACCCAGCGGCGCAGCAATCGAATTACGGACGAAGCAAGACACGATCGACCTGCACACGGGGGAGGGAGGCGGGATGGCTATATGCTGTGGGTTGGTTGCGCATGCATCTGTGTGAAGGTACCGTACCCGCCGTCCTGTTGGTGGTGGTCCTTTGCGGCGGTGCCTGTGGACTGGGTGTCGGTGTGGGTGTCGGTGGTGGTTTGGAGTGCATGTTGGATGATGCCGCCAATGAGCCAGCCGTAGGTGATGTAGTGATACACCTGCACCGCCGATAACATAACATAAATGAAAGGGGGAGTGGACTGGACGAGACGTACATAGCATACGATGGATACGTGCCTGTCGTGTTCCCGGTTCGTGGAGAGGTTTGGCTTTGGCGATCTCGTGTGCCATGAGGTTGAAGTCACACAGCTTGCTCGTCGTCATGTTGGGCGGGATCAGGTGGTACAGACCTTAAGTCCCACAACAGCATAGAATGACAGCAATGAGTGAGTGACACGTGCATACCCACCAGCCCCCCCACCCACCCACCAGCCGTGTGTGCGAGTGCCTGCGCGACAGTGATGTTCTCCTTGCCGTTTTGACCGAACCCGGGCCTATACAAACCGTTCATACCAACGCCGTGTGTGGTATGAGTGTGCAACACCGCAGGCTTTCACCAGATGTCGGCAATTTTTGTATCGAGGTGGATGACGTTGCGGTCGACCAGCTGCAGCACAGCTGTCGCCCCTATGGCCTTGGTCACGCTGAATGTGTTGAAGACCGTATCTGCACACGCACGAGCAGACTCATTCACAACACGTAGGTGTACGTATGTGTGTGTGCGTAAGGTGTGTGTGGGTTGACCTACCTGGTCTGACGGGCATTGGATCGAGCGGCCCGCACTGCCCCACACACACGTCGGCCACCTTCTGGCTGCTCACGTAAACGCTGCACTGGGCCCCGAGCACCCACTGAACACACACACACACACGCACAGCAATACCCACACACATTGAAACATACATTCCAAGGCATGTTGACGTGCTCCCATCCGCACCTCGTCTCTCCACAGCTCGTCCATGCACTCCTGCAACGCCCTCTCGATGCCGCTCACAGCGCCGTTCTGCACACAAACAAACAAGCAAACAAACACGCACACGGATTCACGCTACCTATGGCCATGATGGCTAAAGGTGGGGTGTCGTTACGTGTTTGTGCAGTCCGTAGGCCTTGGTGTATTCAGGCATCGAGCGGATGGGGCACGAGTCGCCACCATCCTGCACACACACACGCACACAGCCACAAAACACACACACACACGTGTCCAAACAAGAGGTTCCATCAGTTGCTGCCCACGCACGCCATGCACATACGTGATTGACTTTGTCGCGTATCCGCAACAGAGCTGCATTGTCATCTGGACACACACACACCCATGGAACACACCACACCCGGCCCACAACGCATGGCATGAAGGCGCATGCGCCATGCGCATTTCATTGCCGTAGGTACCGATGTCATGTGTGTGGCATGTTTCGAGTCTGTGTCTGTTGACGGCCTCAGTCGCCCGCCGCTCGAGCGTGCTCAGGAATGCATACCGAATCGCCAGACGACCTGTGTCGCATCCACACAACACAAGACGACAGACAGACAGCGATGGACCATTCATTAGCACATGGATGTCATTCATCTCAGTGTGTGTGTGTGTGTATACTCGCGAGTCCGTGCAGCAGGAAAGTGACTCGAAAGAAGAAAATGATCTCACCTGATGGATGTGACACGACACACCTAGACTGGTAGCCATGTGTGTGTGAGCAGTGCAGTGCACGTGTGGGTGTGCGGTGCGTGGTGAGTACTCACCGGGGAATGCGTCAACGGGGTCTCGTTTCTTCTCCTTCTGCTCGCGCTGGAACTTGTCCATGTCAGCACGCATCCTGCACTCACGCAGCCAATGTCAGCCACCCATACCACGGTATGGTTGCTGTCTGTGTGTCGGTGTGTGTGTCTGTCACCTCCGTTTGGTGATGCTGGCCGCCCTCTCCTTGGTCTGTGTGTCGCGCATCACAAAGCGCATGACCTCTATCCCCATCTGCGGCTCAATCTCGTCGTGAAAGAACTCAAAACCTCCACATCGGTCGGTCGCATATATCGCACACGTGACGTACACAGAGATCTATCTAGCAACAGATCAGATGATGCTGTGCTGTGCTGTGCCTACCCAGCTCCTCAAAGGCCTCGATCAACCTGCACGGTTGTAGAAACGGGCAGACAGGCAGACAGACAGACAGACAGACGAACCGACGTCGATGCGATGCGTATATTCAGAGTGTACAGAGGTACATCCATCCAGTCTGTCCACACGTACCCGTTGCTGTTTTTGGCGGCCACACAGGCCACCAGTTTGGCGAAGGCCAGACGGGAGTCAATGTATCGCATCATGGGCCGCGACCTGCATGCACGCATCCGTGACACGGAGGGAGGCATCAAAACGGGTGCCCGTGCCGTGGTGCCCCTGTTGTTGTACTTACCTGCGTTTGTATTTGCTCTTGATAGCCACCTGTCCAGGAGGCTCGAACGTCTTGGCCAAACCCCAGTCCAACAAAGTCACTATGCATCACACCACAAACACATAGAGACAGAAATTTGTGTGTGTGGATGTGCATGTGTGTGTGTGCGTGTGTGTGTATGGCTCACTACCTACCGGTGAGCTGTCGGTCTCCCTCTTGCTCTTTGACGTGCAGCAGAATATTGCCAGGGTGAGGGTCGCCTGAACGTGTGTGTATACAGGTCCGGCCGGCCATGGATATACCTATGTATGCGTGTGTGCACTCGTGTGCAGTGAGTGCATCGCATCGCATCGCCCCACCCACCGTTGAAGTGCCCGTCGCAGAACATGCCGTATGCAAACCTGACACGCCACACACACCAAGGAAGAGACCACACCACGTGTTTGTGTTGGTGGATGGATGGATGGATGGATGAGCGCACGAGCTGTGCTACGTCTGTCTCTGTCTGTCTGTCCTTACGCATCCACCAGCCGCCCGAACACTTTTGTGAGCTCTTCGTTGGTCACACGGTGCTCCAGCAGCTGCGCAGAGTCGGTGATCTTGAAGCCCTGACGGACAGACGCATTTCGTAGACAATACATGAGGGAAACGTCGATGCGATGCGAACCTCTGCAAATTCCATAACGATGACGCGCTTCGTTATCAGGCTGTCGACCAACCGCGGAATCGACACCTGCAGGCACACACCATGATTGCACCCACCTGTCTCACTCAGTGTGGTGTGGTTTGTGCGCGTGTGGACAAACGTGGGCACGTAGGGTTTAGGGCTTAGGGTTTATAAACCCTTAACCCTAAACCCGAAACCCTAAGCCCTAAACCCGAAACCCGTCCGCACATGCCCACCTGTATGTTGGCCTTGATGAGTGCCTCCCTGGCCCTCCGCTGGTTGCTGCCCTCAATCGTGAAATCAAGCTCCTGCAGGCATCAATCATTGCGTCGCATTGCATTGCACGCCTTGTGGATGGCTGTGTGGAGTGGATGCGAGCGACCCACATACCTTGATGGCCAGCCGCTGCCACTCGCTGATGACCGGACGGAAATCGTACCTGGCGATGGATGGACCCACACACACACAGGCAGGCAGGCACACACGAGGGAGATGTGTGCAGTGGCCTCACTCTCTCGCTCAGTGTGCATGCCATGCCTTGGTTCGAGCTTGGCGACAATCCAGCAGATGGCAGAAAGGTCCGAGACATCCTGACGCATGATCCGGTCGATGTGCGCGTGCTGAATGAATCAACCACATAGACAACACACACACACACATAGGGAGTAGTTGCACCCATATAGTACACACACGTGCCAGTCAATGCCACTGCCAAAGCTTACCTGCACTTTGACGACCACTGATCGATTCGATCAGAGAAGCCAAAAGAGTCAGTCAGTGTGGTGTGCCAGAAATGCAAAGGGCTCGTTGCCCTGCCCCCACTCACTGCCCTGACCTTTGGTGCCGTCTTGTTTGAGTGTCGCTCTGTGCACCTGGGCTATCGACGCACTCGCAAGAGGCGACTGCACACATCATCCACACACACACACATACACACACACACGATGCTAGCTATGCTGTCACGTGGGTTTGGTTTGCTTGCGTGCCTTGTCGAACGACGCAAAGAGGTCATTGAGCGGCCGCTTCAGCTCCGTCTCGACAGCGTGTTTGATGGCTTCAAAGGGCTCGGAGGGCATGGCGTCCTGCAGACGACCCAACTCGCTGAGCGTACAAAGCACACACCGGGCTTCATGTAAGCAAGCGGATAGATGTGCACCTGGATGTGTGTGCGTGTCTGTGTGCGATGCTATGCACCTGACGAACGCTTCCGGCAGGGCATCGGCTCTGCTGCTGAGGTACTGCCCGAGCTGCGCATCAACACGCACATACACTCGTGTGTACATTCTCATTTGTCAATCTGTGTTGCTCCTTGCGTACCTTAACCCAGAAGCCTGTCAGAACCACACACACACACACACACACACAGAGAGAGAGAGAGAGACATAGGGGAACATGTGTCTGTCTGTCTGTCTGTCTGCAGGGACGCATGGCCGCCCCGCCTACCTCTGAGTGCCTTGATGTGCAGAAACAGATATCTGCTCGTGACGCGATACCTATGGTCCCACAACTGGTCCAGACAGACAGACACACATGAATGAATCGATGACAGATAAACAGAACTCAAACAGACCGTGCCGCTCACCCACCCGGTCCTCTTCGTCTTGGCTCATGTGCTTCCTGCGTGTCTGCAGCTGGGCCGCCTTGAGCGACACGTACACGAACGACGCAACCACAAACACGTGAACCTGAGCGAACGCACACACAAATACACCCACTCTCACACAGACACGTTCTGCCACACCCATCCATCATATAAGTGAGCATCTCGTCACCCACCCGTCTGTTGATCATGCCTTGGCGGTTGGCGCACAGGACGGCCAGGCCGCCGCCCACGAGTGTCGTGCACGCCACCCGGACCCACACACTCGACACACAAAACGAGATCATGGCCGTCAACACGAGCTGTTTTGGGGGAGGGATGCACACCACACAGACAGGGGAAGCGATGCGATGCGATGCGATGCGCGTGTGTGCACTCGTGAGGACAGATCAGCTAATGCATCCCTTCGTACGTACCAGCATGGCCCCTGCCAGTGCGTATTGCGTGATTGTGGCCGTTCTCATCAGCGAGTCGACGTCCCGATCCACCAGCGAAGTTTCCAACGCATAAAGCCTGACACAAGCACACACAGGTGGGTGGGTCATCAGGCCTGCCTGCCTGCCTCGTCGTGTGTGTGGTGTGTGCGGAATCCGATCTCACCTTTCCCTGAGTCCGTCGACGTCTGCAGATGTGTGGCTGTCATCGGACGCCTGAATCATCGTCAAGGAGGCGCCGCTCGCGTCCGTCTGCACTCCACTCACACACTCACACACACACACACACACGTACGTGCGCGGCTCATACACCCATGTGTTGTCTGATGCACACGGCATTCACTGCATTCCTTTACTTATTACCGTCGAGGCTGATCCCAGCGAGTGTGTGTTCCTCGCCGCGAAGCACGAATGACACACCTGCAGGCAGGGACATGCATGGCGTATCATGCATGTATCAATCAAGGCCCACTGCGTGGGGGGTGTGGTGTGTACTGCGCCCACCGACCCACCCGTTGTTTGGGCAACGACGGCAGGGGCGAGGGCCGCAGAGGGGAACACCGGTGGCAAAACAGACCTCCGCACGACCTGTATGTAAGGCGTGTGGGGGCGGGAGGGAGGGAGGGAGTAGAGTACCTTACCTGCAGTGGTGCCGCCGCCTCCCAATGGCTCTGAAGGGCTTGCTGCAGCCAAGACACACACGGCTGGCGTCGTTCTGCACTCATACGCAAACAGACAGACAGACAGACAGACACATCCACACGTTCGTGTGAGTAGCGAGTGTTGCGATTGATTGCCACGTACAGGCATCCACTGTGGCTGCTGGGGCAGCGTCAGGTTGCTCGCCGACCGGGGCAGCAGCGGATATCCGCTCCCACCTGCACATAAATGAACACATACATACCATCCATACACACAGACAAACAGAGTTCATGGCATTAATGATTGATTGATGGATGGAGGGATGCAGGCACGCCCCGCCCACCAGCTGTTCGCGTGACGTCGGGGCTCGACAAAGCAGACGGGAGCGACTCGCGCTTGAACAGAGATGCCATCACACTGGTAGATATAACGACCACCATCGAACATACATACCACATGTGCATCGCATCAGAGCCCTTGCTGACTCGCTGGCTGGCTGGCTGGCTGACTGGCTGGCTGGCTGGCTGGCTTACCGGTACATCCGTGGGCTGCCGCCCCTGACAGTGACCCTCCTCTCAGCCAGAGCCCTCGTGAAGGGCGTCCGCCCACACGTCACATCCACAAACGAATCAACCGATGAGTAATGCACCTGAATCATAGGATACATGCACACACATCAACGCGTGTGTGAGAGCTCCCATGTATGCCTCTTTGACACAGAAGCACGTAAGTACCACGACAGACGACGAATCACTGGTGTTGTTGTGGGACGCCCGTCCACTCCTGCTGCCGCTGTCTTGCTGCACAAACCCTTCGTCAAGGCTGGTCAATCGGTAGACGAGAGGCTGGCCTGACAACACACACAGACGACATCCCTCTTGTCTTTCGACTGTTCTGGGCACATGTGCATTCGTGTGAGAGGCTGCTTGCTTCTATGCGCTCCGCACCTCGTGTGCCGGCACCGATGGTGACAGTCACACTGGCCTGCGATGGGAGAGCCGACTCACCGCTGGCCGGTGGTGATGCCAGGAGCCGCCTGTTGAGCTCATTGAACACGTTGGCAACACGCTCTGACGGCGTCGTCGCATTCATGACGTTCGTGAATGAAAGTCTGTTTACAACGAATGCACTGGGGCTAGAAATGGATTCTGGTCTTCGAGATAGATCGAACGATTGTCTGTGTCCCTCCCGCCCCTGCAGCTGTGGACAGCGCATGTTTCGCGCTGCCTCAGCCAGCCAGCCAGCCAGCCATCCCATCGTATATATCGACCGACTGTACAAAAAAGAGGGAGGCAGATCTGATCTGTCCGTTCGTTCCGCAACCAAACGATCCACACATGTCGAAAACTACGAGTCAGTCAGTCAGTCCCACGACACCCACTCGCCATTGTCCTCCTCCTGCATCGCATCAACCACACACAACCACACAACCACACACACACGGCACATGAATGGAGGCGTGCACGTCTCTGTGTGGTCACGTCACACTCTCTCCCTCTCACCTACCTTGTGTTGTTCGACAGGCTGCACGATGGCGAAGTCGTCAGAGGCGCCGGAGCTGGCGGGCCCATCAGGACTCGCACCCGGCACACCCACAGGCGAGTCCACCACCTCGCAAGCCGCTGCAATGCAAGCCATCAACGCATTCATTCACGCATTAGGGATGATGGATGCGATGCACGTTCGTGTACCTTCCTCTTGGTCTTGGGTGTTGTCGCCCTGGGAGAGCCTCTCGGGTGTCAGCCGGATGGGAGTGGGAGGTTGCTTCACGGACGGCTGCTCGGTGCCCTCCTCGTGTTGCCCCTCTGCTTCACCGCCGGACGACGGGTGCTCGTGTGTGTGCTTGTCCGGGTGGCCTCGGGGAGAGTCCACGTCGTCCCATGAGAACTCCTGGGTGGGACACACAAACAAAGATTGGTTCAAGGCCCGCATTAGGGTAGGCAGCATGTGTGGCGTCGTTTGTTACGTCACAGTACCTCCTCTTCGTCGCCCGTCTCGGTGTTCTTGACGCCTGTGGACAGACAGACAGACACAACGCATACGACACGTTGTGAGGGAGAAGAACAGACAAATGATCTCAGCCTGAGATCATTCGCACAGCCTGCCTGCGTGTGTGAGTGGTGGGTGTGGGGCCTCCCTCACTTACGCTGCACGAGGTCGGCGAGGTGCGCCTCCTCACACTTGAGCAGGTAGATCCGATACAGAAACCTGACAAACGCAAAAGATGCATCCAACGATGGCACGGTACCCTGCCTTGCCCGAAGTCTGTCTATCTATCTCCCTTCCTTGACACCTCTTCCAGAAGAGCTCCTCATCGACACGTGATGGGACTGCAGACAGAGGGAGGGCATGGATGGGATGCATTGCATCCACACACACATAGGGAGGGCCCAACGTAAGTAACCTTGGGTGTATGTGTTTTTCTTAATTCTGCGCTAATCATTCCCACCCACTCACCTAGCCGCTCCTTGAGCGTCGCAATCGTCTCATCGTGGCACCACTCTAACACCTACTCACTCACACAACACATCGGACGCAAATGGCCGATCGATCCGCTCGTGCGTCCGTGTGCGCCCTCTGTGTGGACTACCTCACCCACCTCGTATTGGTCGACGGGGTAGTCTTGGAAGGTGCCGGTGCGGTGGGGGGTGTCGTGTGGCGGCTCGGGGGGGTCCGTCGTGAAGGTCGACTCGTCCTCACGAAGAGCCTCCAACTTGGAGATGAAACGCGCGCTGAAACTGAGCACATCACATCACATGAACCAACACACCCACAACCATGATGGATACACACATCACATGCAGATCAGATGAGCCCAGCCCACACATGTGCTGTGTTGTGTTGTGTTGTGTTGTGTTGTGTTGTCTGTCTCTCAGTCCCCCACTTTTTCTCATATGCTTTGGGCAGCTTCCTGGTCGGTTTGCCGGCGGGCGGCTGCGGGTCACCATCCGTCTCCCTCTGTGCCTCCTCCTCCCCCTCTTGCTTGGTGCTGCTGCCGGTGGCCTTTCTCGCCCTGTCGGCGGCAGCCTGCTTGGCGGGGCTGGCTTCCTGGCCCTCACCCTGACTCTCAAAAGCCTCATCAAATTGCGCCGCAACGTGCATCAGCCGCTCCTTCTGCTTGGCCACAAACTGAGAGGTGTCGCTCTGTAACTGCTGGGCAAACTCCTTGATCTCGGGGGTCACCGTCTGACAGAATCCGACACACACAACACGTGAGAGCACTGGTCTGGCGGCCGGCATGTGCTTGGATCTGTCTGACCTCAATCATCTCTTTGCCTCTGCTCTGCAGGAAGTTTGCCGTGTTCTTGAGCCGCCCGCCGAACCATGAGCCGACCTTCAGCCCGACCTCAGCGAGCGACGGGCCGGGATCTGCCACAGACGGCCTTGGCGGGGTGGTCACCTCCGGCTCCTTCTCGCTGGGCGAATGTTCTTGCTCTGCCGGCGGCTCCAAGACCTGCTGCTGCTGTTGCTGCTGCTGCTGCTGCTGCCCTTCCTCTTGCTGCTCCTTGACTTGCTCGGTTGGTCCTGCTGGTGGTTGCGGTTGCACGTTCTCTTGTGTGGCTGCAGATGGGGCGCTCGCTGTATCTGATGATGCGTGGTCCTCCATTGTGTTTCTTTCCCCCTCTCTTGGCTCTCGGGAAAAAAAAAAAGCTGAGCTCGCAGATCCAAAGCCGCAGCGAAACGACAAGGAAGGTATGGAAGGATCTAAGCCAAAGGACGGTACCATCGACTACACACCGCCATACTGGTAACAAATCACACACAGATCAAGCAAACCGTGCGGCGTGCTGACACCGAACCGCGTGTGTGCTGTGGCTATGGTGGGTCAGGTCCGGTGTTCCGCAGGCGGAGATCTATCTGGAGGTGCTGCGGCAGGGCGCGCTGCTCGGACGAATCGACCTCAAAGACAAACCATACTTCCTTATCGGTCAGCGAACAATCCGATCACACACACATGTGCAGCCGCACTCGGCCAGCCGACGCACGTCGTGTGCGTGTGTGCCTGCGTGTGTGTGTGTGTACTCAGGTCGCAATCCGATCACTGCTGACATTCTTGTCGACCATCCGTCAGTCTCTCGGGCGCATGCCGTCATTCAGTTCAGTGACAAAGGTACAACAGACACACAGAGTCACCATCACCATCCATCTCGCCATCCATCTGTCGACCTACGTCCCTGGCATGGGTGGCTGTGTGTGAGTGGTTGCAGGCAAGATGTACCTCTACGACAACGAAAGCGTCCACGGGACAAAGCGCAACGGTGCGCCGATATCTATTTAAACAGACAGACACACAAATGAGAGCATGCAGTGAGTGCAGCAGCACCGCACCTGCCTTTGTTTGTGGTGCCGATACATCCATCCATCCATCCCTCCATCCATCCATCAGGCCACGCCCTCGAGCCCAAGAAGTTTGTCGAGTTCTGTGTGGGCGACCAGCTGCAATTTGGTATCTATCTATAAAGCATGGCATGCTTTGCTTTGCTTTCGTGTGCGTCTGGGTGAGTGTGCATGTTGTTCCTTCCGGTGTTGTTTGCTTGTTTGTGTGTGTGTGTGTGTGTCGGCAGGTCAGGCCACTCGTGTGTTTCTGGTTAACGGCCCTGAGGGTCTGATGCCCAAAGAGCTGAACATTCAGGCGTGCAAGCAGGCCAGGAAGAAGGTATGGATGGTATCCATCCCATATATCCTCCATGTGTGTGCGGCACGTGTGTGCTTCCTAATTTTACCGGTGAGTGCATGCTTTGCTTTGCTTTGGTGCGCTGCGCACCCTCTGTCCCTTTTGGTGTGCTGTGCAGGAGATGGAGGCCTTAAAAGCAGCAAAAGCCCAACCGAGGTCAGATCAGATCAAGGAAGGATAACGAGGCACACTGCATTTATGACATCATCTCCATGACGTGTCCTTTGTGTATATATTGCAGTCCTGCAGCCCCGGCAGCGGCCCCCGCCCCTGCTGCTGATGCGTCCTGGGGTCTGGCGATGGACGCCGAGGACGCACTGAGGGACGAACAACACGAACAACAGCACGAACTTATCCACCCGGTCACAGGTGGGCAGGCGACAGTCAAATGGGCGTATCCTTCGATGTGTGTTGCAATGTAGGTATGTATGTCATGCTTGTCTGTTTGTTCTGTGTGTGCATGGCATGTAGGCTTCTTGGACCTGGAGCGCGTCAAGGAGAAGAAGGACCTCACCGCCAAGCAACTCGCTGCTGTCGGCAAGGTAAATAATGTGGGGGGGGGGGGGGGGGGGGGGG